ACTGCCTGTCATGCACGAGCAGTCGCGCTCAGAGCGCCCGCAATCAAAACAACATGCCAGTTTCATTCGCTTGTAGACGGACATCTTGGCTACAGTCATGTGTTGGATGAGAGGAGAGGAAAGCAGCAGGTTAATGGCAAGGATCAAAAGAGTTTTTCAACCAGGGAAGTCTGAAGGTAACTTTTTCAAACAGGAACAAAAAGTGCAATGCCTTAGCAGCAAGCTCTGACAGGTTTGCCCCGCAAATGGACCACTGCGCTCCTGCTTGAAGTACGCTTCGGATAAGCATCCAATTATGTTCCCACTGCACACGTGAAGTTCGATCCAAATTTGAAGGTTAATACCAAATTGAACTTTGAAAACGTCTAATAGAGGGCTTGTTTAGGCAGGAAGCAGTCGTCTCATTGGGGTCAAGCCGTGCCCTAAGGCTGATCATGTCATAAAAGGTTAAAAGGTCAGATATGACAATATGATCAGAGGTTGGGGCAAGGAACATTCAGGCAGAGAGGAATGGGTGAATGTGTTCAGCAGCAAAACCTCTTTGGATAACATCCTCTGTATCTAAAGGAGAGGATCACGTACCTGTATCCCATCATGCAGCAGCAGGTTATTGGCATCACAACGTACTACAGGCTCTAACGTGGGAGCTCTATTCTGTTCGTCAAACTCTGCTCATCACTGGACTTAATTAGGGATTGGTTGGGAGATTTATATGGTAAACATGCCGATAGGCTACTTCTTCATTCCCTAATTAGAAGATGCATTCGCATGCATTTGCGCATTTTATTCAAACATACATTACGTGGACAGTATGTATGTGTGTATGCAATTTTTACTTATTTTTTGGTTCTCAAAGGAGCTGTGGTGAGAGACTATAGCAGCATGATTGCTGTGAATCGGACTAAAAACAGTCCCTGGTACACATTCTCCCGGTGCCACCTCGCTAACGGACCGTAATCAAGTCTGGCACCCTCAAAAGAGCAAACAATCCACAGGGAAAAGCCTGCTTTTGACTTCCATCTGAGGTTATGAGCCTGAATTAAGAGGCCAATTTCAGTTGTATGCTGGAGAGATAATACGGTAAATGACTTGGCCTTTAAAGCCATAACCTCAGGGACTGTTATTCTAATAGAACCATGCAGAATGGCTGAAATTAAGGAGAACAGGCATGCAGTGGGAGGCGACCGCGGTCGTATCTCTTGAAACGGCAGCCCGGTCGACTGTTTACGGGGCTGAAACAGATTAAGGCAATGTGGAAACATGCAGCAGCGGGGTTTCTACTTCATTTCATGCTGAAATCTATCGCTTCAGAGTTTGAGGGTTGACATTCATCGGAGCACATAGTATGTGGTTATGTTAGTCAGTGAGACATGGAGGGCGGAAGAGACACAAGACAACATGATGATGTGAGTGACTGAACACGACTACACAGAGAGCCTAATTACTGAAGCCTCTTTAACAGAACAACCCGATTTAGCAAGAATGCTCTCAGCACCCCTATCGTCTTTCCTCGCCCTACAACGTCCTGTAATTCAAAGCAGGCTACGTCATGTGTTAAAATACTAATGGAAAGGAATATATCTGAAGGATTTATAATATGGTCATATATGCACATTATAGCCAACTTTGAGCTTATACTTACTAAAAACACTTAAATCAAGAGTTATATTAGATACAGTGAAGCCTTACGTTCTTAAAATACTTAAAACAAACACACCTCCATCCGTACCGATATAAAGCGAAAAACACCCTGGCTCCTTGGTAAGACCTACATAAAGAAACCTAGGTGACAAGTGAGAAGACCCTACAGTGCACATTGGCTGTTAGCAATCTTGCTAAATAGGTTTATGAGGACCTCAGTGTTCCCATTCTGTTCCGTTCCTATTTGTAGAACTACAGTGGCATCTAGTGGTCAGCATTGTGTACAGCAGTTAGATCAACACCTCCGTGAGCCTAATGTTGAGAGGTGCACCTATCAGTGAGGGCGGGGAGTAAAAAAAGACCCAACTACTGAAAAGAATTGAAATTCAGAATATTTCAATTCTACCGATGGTTCTTGTGTCGTGTATAGAAGCTGGGCAGGGGCCGGATGGTGGAGACAAAGGGGAGGCTGTAGGCAAGAGGGAGACCAGATTGTTTTGATTGTGTTTTGGAGACGATGCTCGTTAAGTCTAAGAATTTGAAGAACTTCCCACAGAACTCTTTCTGCTCTCTGAAAATACAGCAGCATGCGAAATTGTCTTTGACAGCGAGGGGACGGATTCAAGTGGACTCAACCGCCCCCCTTGGCACTGGTGAGGTCCATGACTAATAGTAGCAAAATCAATCGGCTTGTTTGACTTTTTAGATTGTCATGACAGGTTACGTTGAGTTTACGGGAGAGTCAAACAACCTCTGAAATGAATCACCGATTTCAGAATGGTACTGTGAGTAAATCTTTGGGAGGAACGGTTATTTGTCAAGAACTTATTCTTTTATCTTATTAGAGACTGCTTTGTAGGGGTTAGGACAGGGTCATTTTCAGGCCAGTAAATTCTGCTGTATTACTGTTCTGGGCTGAGGACAGTGGAGAGATGAGAGGTGTAGGAGGGATGCAGCAGCTAGACTGATACATGCAACATATATAGATATATATATAGAACTATTATCAGAGTGAGACAGTCAGACTGTCCTCTGGGCCACAGGAAACCCATTTTTACTCACAATATGTCACTATCAGTGAGAGGTTTTAAAAAAAGAGGCGGTATTCCAAGGCAGCAAGGAAGGAAATACATCAAAAAGTATGTCAATGATCATAAAGAGGGTGAAATAAAAGAACACAAACTTCCATTACAGCAATGGAAACCTCATCTCCCTTACTGTGAGGCTATTGGCCTCTTCTCGGATGAAATTTAGTTTTGGGAGAGCGCATATCAACAAAAACATGATTGGGATGACAACAAAAGAGAATAAAGAAATAAAAATGTTTTAGCTCAAAATTTCACTATTGTTGCAAGGTTTGGGGTCAGTAATTTATATAATAATACTTTTATTTAACAAAGAAGCATGAATGTTATAAAAAAAAACATTACAGTAGAAAACTGTTATTTTAAATTGTAATAACATCTGACAATATTACTGTTCGTACTGTAGCCTTGTTGAGCATAAGAGACTTTCAAAAACAATCGGTAGTGCATGTGTAATCAAACACAGTTTGAAACATCATATATAGTTTAAAATAATTATATTAATGTAAACAAACAATAAATAAACAAGGATCTGCAGTTAAAGGCAGCAGTTTTAAAGTGCACAGTGAAAGGTCACTGGGAATGAAGCTGAATTATTCATCTTGTGGCTAACTGGTTTGGACAAATGCTTATATAGGTCATGTAATAACAATACATCATTCCAATATTAATGTTAATATATGCTCTACGTAACATTAATATTGCTTCATTCTACCAAGCCAACATTAGCAAATGGCAACAAACATTTAGGTGCTGCCATATCTATATATAATTAAGAGGGTGTTTAAGGAAACGCAGTTCTATCAAATGATGTGAACGTCTGCAGGAGCTGCTCTGACAGTGGACTACACTCTGAGCTATTAATCTCTCTTCTACTTCAGTGACTTCCTGTCAGAAAGTGTTTTTGCCAGGCTGAGGCAGTGGGACATGACAGTGGCGCGTCCAAACGGCAGTTGCGTTGGGCGTTCTGGATAAACTGGGTGGATATGATTGGTAAAATGATTCCTGGGCCAAGAGTGTGTTTTCGGTGTGTCTGGCGAGGGTGGGCCAAGCTGCTCTTGCCTTTTGTTTTTCCACCTGACTGGTGTCATTACCTCCGCCTCTCTCCCACTGATGCCACCGTGAGCTGACAGCCTCTCTCTTCAGCCCTGCTAATCATGTCATTCTCTCTCTACATCTGTATCTCTCTTCACCATTAGCATGCTGATGACTGGCTTTTCTCAAGACTCTCTCTTTCACCTTGGCATCTTTCTCCCTCTTTTTCTAGTTCTCTAATTTGAAGGTAGTCTGTTTTTGATGAAGTCACTAGTTTCTACAGTTCATCACTCTAATATTTTTTAGTATTTTTCTTTTTAGTGATTGCAAGGCAGCAATGTGTTTTGTATGTAGTTGTATTCTTAAATGTGACATACATTTGTTCACACTTTAGAAATATGTGATTTTCTTTGCAAATATGCAATTGTTCAAAGATTTTTTTTATGTTTTGAAAGAAGTATCTTATGCTCAACAAGGCTTATTTAATCAAATTACTGTAAATGCAGAAATATTGTGAAATAGTATATTACAGTTTTAATATATTTTAAAATGCTATTTATTCCTGTGATGCAAAGCTGAAATTTCAGTCATTACTCCAGTCAACATGTCACATGATCCTTCAGAAATCATTCTAAAATGCTGATTCATTTCTCCACAAACATTTCTAATTATCAATTCTGAAAATATTTTTGATAAAAATACTGAAGCGTACATCTGATTAAAACTTTACTATCCTAAATGGGAGAAGGGTAGCCATCAGATTCAAAAAGTTGAAAAAGGACAGAAGGCTGAGTGGCTCTTTTCAAATGTAAGCACTATAGTTACAAAAATTTCAATTGTATTTCATATGTACTTTACCAACATAATAATTTTAAGTTTTTTTTTTTGGAAGATTTAGCTTTTGTGAATTGAATAGTATGTGAGCGGAAGAGCAGAACCAAACCCTAAAATCTGAACTTTTTGAACACTATTCTTTTGCTGCCTTGCAAGTGTTTTATTATTATTATTATTTTAAGAGTGAAACTACATGTTATAAATAAAATTATAGGCTCATGTCAATGAAAGCTTTCAAATTTGAACTTTCAAAAGAAAAAGCTAAAATACACACACAAAAAAAACCCCAACAATATCTGACATTTTACACAACGTAGCAGTGCCCTACAAAGTGAAAAAGAGTTGGTGGACACTTTCCGTTCAGACTGGACACGACAGAAGGGAGGGATGGTCGGGTGTACTTACTTCTCTTGCAGCCACACTTTTTAATCCTTTTGGGATCTGTGATGTCATCATGACATGCTTTGCAGTAGAAAAATGCTCTAAAGAGAGACAGTAAAGAATTTAACATTTTGCTTCAAAGGGAGTCCTTCGAATTTCAGTTTTCATTTGTATTAAAATTCAAAAATCAAACATAAGAATGCATGTAATTCGGATGGATTGGGGACATATTTACCTTTTCACCTCTTTGGCGTCACTGGCGATAAAGAATCCCAATGTCCCCTCTTGCATCTTAACGTGATTTCCGGGGTTGATGAGAATACTGTTCAGTCAGAAAGAGGGTCATTCTCATTAACATGAAGAAAATCAATCTTGCACATTCAAACACTCTAATCAAGAGGAATGGTACACATGTTTTTGGAAACTGATGAGAAATATACTGCCTTAAATTTTGATACTGGAATTGAACTTTAGTCAAAAAGGCTGCAGGGAACAGGACCTATTCAAGAAATACTGCTTAGGCCACTTGGCGTCACACAAATACAGTACAGCACACAACAGCATGATTTTAATTCTTTTCTCAAGATGGTCTTAGATTTAATTGTCTGGGTGATGAGATAAAAGAAAGAATTAAAATTCGGGTGGTAACAATCTAGGGGTTCTGGTTGATGGGCCTTCAGAAACACATAGTGTGAGGTCTACCGTCACAGCAGTGCAATTGAATTCCTGCTTTAGTTCAGTGGAAAGCAAGAGAATGACCAGCCCACCAAGAGTTCAGGATGCATCCTGGGCCTCTGAATCTGCGGTAAAAGCGCAACTAAGCCAATACATGCCATGCTGTTTTCAAACAGGACAGGCTAATTCTGAAATTATGTTAAAGACATTCTGATATCATATCATTTGAAGCTTCAGCTCATGGTTATTAGTTTTACTGTTGTTGTTGTGTGGCCAAATCATAAAAAAAAAAAGCACTGAGGCAGAGGCTGCACTACCAATAACCATTATCTGTCACTCAAATGGACTGTAAAGTTTCTGTCATTGAATATTTTTTCCGTCATGTTTAACTTTACTGACTGTTATATATAGCAGACATGCTGTATGTAATATCATCTTGCTATAGCATTTATTATAATTATTAAAATTGCAGTTTGTTTTAACTGGGAATAGGTGACCTTCCGTGAGCCATGTAACACATATAGGCCTGGTTTCACAGGAAGGGCTTAGATTAAACCAGGACCAGATTAAACCAGGCTTTTATAAATGTGCCTTAGAAAAAAACATTACTGGTGTGCTTCTTGAGACAAAACGATGGCACTGACATATTTTAAGATATGTCAGTGCAAGTTGCTTTCATTTAAGACTGCTCAAAAGTGCATTTTAGTCTGGGACTAAGCTTAAGCCTAGTCTGTGTAACCGGAGGATAATATGTTATTCATGCTTCAAGAGAGATAATTTAGACTACTTTTTTTTTTTTAAATAAGTCTATGCTCGCTGCGGTTGTGTTTGATAAAAAAGACAGTAAAACTGTGAAATATAATAACAATTTAAAATAACTATTATATTTTAATTTATGTTAAAAATAAAATGTATTCCTGTTATGTCTTATCTGCAGCCATTACTCCAGTCTCACGTGATTCTTCAGAAATGATTATATAATATGATACAGATACAGAAACTGAATTAAAAAAATACATAAATTGATACATTAATTAATTATACAATCATTAATTTCTTTAAAAATATATTTTTGCCCATTAACGTTCGAATGGTTGAAAAAATAATCAATTCAAAACATGTAAAGATGGCAACCTCTAAAATGAGAATTCATAGGTTTAAATTGTTCTTTTTATTGTCAAAATGACAAAGCATTCTGGATCAAATTAAGTAAATAACAGGATTTGTTTGGTTAAGGCAACCTCTGCCTCTAGGTTTGGCTCCAGTGGTTGTACAATCCCAGGCTATTGTGAAAAATTACTAGTCACTGCCAAACCTAAGCTTGGTGGGCGAGGACATTATCCAGTGTCAGCTTCTGCCAGATATTTGGGAGAGTCTGGTTCGTAACTGTAGAAGTTCAACAGTGTAGACAGAGCCACTACTGAACCACTGTATCATTCCCCATTAATTAGACAAAGACAGGATGACACAACACAGCCATCAATGGTTGCCAGTTGTTAGGAATCATCAATGAATTAAGTGGTGGCTGCAACACTTGACAACTGCCCAGCCTGACTAGAGAGTCAAGGCCAGAGAGCCCAGACGAAAGGGAAAGGCACATGACAGACATCCCATTATTCCATTGATTCAAAAAAAGGTGGCCAGCATCACTGGCTCTCCAAAATCCATATACTTATTGACCATTTGATACATGTAGTCTATCAAAATCCTTTCCTCTGGGCTCATCAAATAACCAGTTCATTGCAAACGAAGGCCGAAAGAGGGGGATTTAATCCATTATAAAGCGGATGTTGGCTGGTCAGTTAATGAAAATGTCAAAAGCTCACTGTATTGCTTGAAATTATTGTGCTGGGTTATTTATCACTGAGCTTTACATCTGATTAAATAGCCCCCTTAGCGAGAAGCAGCACATTTGACATGCTGTTCAGAAGATGAATACAAATGGACTCATTCACTGACATATTCACATACGTTGCTCCCCAAATTTGAGATTTTCACAACATTTGACACTAAATCAAACAGAAGCCTTATGCAATGGGTCAATCACAGACTGATTGCATGGAAATGGAGGCTTCCGCTCATATCAAACCTCATATTATGGGAACAAAGCAAGCATCACACATCACGTGACAGCATACGGGCATGCGGTTACCAAGGCATCACAACCAAGCACATCTAAAAGAGAGCAGGTGCAGCCACCGCACAGCGACACGTAGATGCAAACTGTTGCAGTAACTTCTGTGCAGTTGGATTGTTGTATAGAACACCAAACTGACAGGAAGTGACCTCACTTCATAAACATCTACTCAGAGACGCACAGGCATTTGGGGACATGATGAAAGTCAGTTCCAGACAAACTCTGACAAACAGACCGACAATTTAGTCACACACACTCGACAGAATCAACATATCATACGCACATACAAATACAAATCACACTCACTCCGACACACAAATACACACAAACGCAATACAGTGTTAGAGTGGTAATGACAGAAAAGGCAAATATGGTGCCATGAATAGTGTGGCCTTTAATAACCAGTCAGTGTTTGGTGTTTAAAACTGCGTGAAGTAAAACTTGCCATATTGAGACACATCAGTTCTTAATGAAAAAAACACTGGTATTTTCTGATATATAATGCACCGAGTACAGTAGTTTTCCGATTAGGGCAATTTTCTTTGTGCATTACGAAATAAGTGAGAAAAACATGAAGTACTGTTGGCATGGAGAGCACAACGCTGAAAAAGACACGGACAGAAATGATTTGCAGCTGATGAAAACTGAAAAGTAATCAAACAGGGAAAAGAGGAATGGAAAGGAGAGGAAGTCTAGAACAAAAACCAATGATGCACGAACTTGGAGTGGATAAACGTTGTGTTGATATGTAAACAGCACAGACAAAGAAACAAGTGAATCGAACAATAGCAACTACTCTCTCTGCCTGCAAAGAAGTTAGTGCATTAAGCACAAAGAGAATCACAATATAAGAGATAGCGAGAGATTTTGGCCATTTTTGAGAGGGAGGTGGTACAATATCCTTAAGATTTTCTCCCACAGTTGATCTAAAGTGTAGAGGGGTGAGATAATGAAGAGGGCATACCGCTTTCTGCTTCTGCAAACAACAAGAAAACATTATAAATCAAACATAGACTGTGAAAAAAGGAGGCGAGGTGTCAGTCATCTGTATCTGCACAGTAAGATCAGGAGTCTAAAGTAGAGGGCAAAACAGTCACTTTAACCATAAAAAGAGAACACTTCGCATTGGTTAACTCATCTGTTCTACAAAGGGAACAATATGGTCTAAATCCCAAAGTGCTCTTCTAAGTTTAGACCAGCCTAGAACACCAAATTGAGAGTTACGCTAAAAGGATAATGCTGTGCCCTCTAAAGGTTTTGTCATTATGTGTGGTATGGCAAAGTTATGAACCAAAGTTTAATAGCCATCCATTAGAAAGTAATCAAAGTATATGAACTGCATCATACAGAGTGACAAATTATTTATTTATTTTTTGTGTGTTGGCACGGATAATACTGGACACGAGTGGCACTTTTATGTGATATCAGGGAAAAATAAGGTTCTGTTTAAGATTTTCAGTAGGCGAATTAAACGACAGAGAAAAAAAAAAACTAGTTCATACTGTAACTACTGTACTGGTGGGCGGTATGAGCAAACTCTTATATCACAGTGCGAGTCGTTTTATTATATGGTAACAGTATATTACAATATTGTTTTTCCTGCTGGAAATTCAAAGGAAAAATACCTGTTTATATGTCTATACCTACTTTGGGATAATCCAGAGAATTACTTTACAAAAGAAATATAATTCATTTATTTTGATTATTTTGTCTTTTTAACTTTAAAAATATCAACTTATTCATAAAAATGTAACAAGTATGACATCAATGTAAAAACATATTACCTGAGTGTAACATAATAGAAATTATAAAACTAATATAAAATGGATTGTTACGACTATAAATTCAGATTGGATTAGCTATTGTTATAAAATAGATGGACAATATTCAGTCACATACCTCTGACCACACATCAGTTGAGCTCCATAATAAAAGCACCTTGAAATGTTGCAACTGTGTAAACTGAGTTTTGCCAAACAAATACCATTTAATAAAAACTTTCATTACAAAAATAATTTCAATTTCTTCCATACACATCCTATACTTTTTCTATACACTTCATTTATCATTCCTCCATATAATCCTCCATGTTAATGTAAATAACGTGAAGTCTAGCCTAGCCAATACAGTATATCCATCTACAGTGGAATAAATGGAAAAGCTAAATGTTTACAAGACACATTTCTAGTGTCCCATAATATATTATCATACCGCCCATATACCACCAAAAAAAAAAAAAACTTAATGCAAGCTGCATATCATGAGATCTTCTTAGTATTTGGGCTGTGTGTGTGTGTGTGTTTTCAGGCCATCTTGTATTCTAAACCACACTCATTAGTACTTACTGTGTACATAAAATGTATTAGTAAGAGTTACAGTGTACAGAAACATTGGAACACAGGTTGTGGATGTAGGAAGGGGTGGTGGGATTTGGCAAAGTCGAAGTTACTGAGACAGAGTACTTCATGTTATTAGTTCCAATGGGTCACTTAACAGAATGCCACAGAAGTGCTATTGATAGAAAGCTCTTTACTCGGAGAGTAAACCCTCATCAATACAGCACAGTGAGTCTGAGCAGATGTCATGGCTCTTTGGCTTCACAGTGACTCTTACAGACAGTGATCGGCAACTGTGATGCTGTGAGAGTCAAGCTGAGGCGAACTTCCTCCAGTGACAGAACGTAACATGCTGCTGTCTCAATGATAGCGATTTCTTTGCAAATTTGAAACCAGATTAGATCAGAGAGATTTGCAGAGAGATTAAATGATGAAAACCTGCCAGCCTTTTCTTGCAACATAATTTCTAGCCAGTTAAATAGGAGAACTGTACTGTAGGACCAATGAGGGACACAACTGCTTTGCCCCTCTTTGGTCCGTGTATTGTGCATGGTGGAGTTGAAGACCAAAAGGGGACAAACCTGCTTTCCCTTTGCTCTGACTTGTACTCAATAGCAATCAACAGCAACTTGAGCTTGACATAGCACAGCCTGAAAAAGAGAACAGACCTTTAGTGTCCAGAAGCAGCTATTTAAATTCATAAGTTTCATTAAATTAGACCTTAAACACAATTTCAAGTTCATCTATTGCAATCTGAACAGTCTATCACCATAAAATCCTATTGGTTCAAAATCCTGCCCCACATACTGTAACAGTACATTAAATATCAAATTTGATTGCAGTTTCACATTCACTTTGGACAGGCAAATTGTTTGTTGTTGAAAATCACATCATGCAAGGACACGTGATAGTTCAGGTTTGCAGTCAATTTGGCATTATATTAAAAAGCAAGAATATATGAGAGACTTTATGATACTTACTATTATGTGTTTGTAAAAATGTGCTGTAAAGCTCCCATGCTTTAGAGCAGAGGCATACTTACTCACAAATTGTAGGAAATGAAAGCCCCACAAAGGCACTGGACAGGTATTCGGTGTACATTTCATTAGCTACTCCCTCCAGATAATACTTCTGCCAGGTGTCCTCCTCAATCTACAAGGCAAAAACAGTTAGATTCAGATACCAACAGTCAGGGAAGACACCATATTTAATTTGATGTGAATGGATTAATCAGCCATTACAACATTAAATACATGACTTTCTAAAAAAAAAAAAATGTTTTCAGTGTACAAAAAGCTCTAGAAAATAAGGTGTGACTTAAAAGGATAGTTCAACCCAAATGTTGTTCCAAACCCATAAAACATTTAGTCATTTCTGTCCCTCCATTGAAAGTCGATTCACCCAAAACTCTTGACAGTTCAAAATTTTCATAAAGAAATCCATATGAATTGAGAAGTTTTAATCAAAGTCTTTTGAAAAGACACAATTGCTTTATCCACCTTATTTTGCAACGTGGAAGTAAGCTCTTTTCTTTAAATGTGTGAAACTTCTGATTCATTAGCCACTATAAATAAAATAACTAGAAGTATAACAAAGTGCAGTAAATGGTAAAACTATTTTTGATTATGGCAATGCATCTAAAATAATATGATAGCAATTACAAGTTTGCAAGTTAAAGCAGCATAACAGACTGTTTTTGTACAATTAAAATAACTGGAAGTGAATGACTGGAAGCCAGACACATTAAAGTTACAAATGGCCATGCCCGTTCTTTCAGTAAAAATAAGATGGATATGATGAACAGATTTAATTTAGGCTTTTATTAATATAGAAACATTAATCATTTAACATATATAGAGCTCATCACATGTTCAGCATGTTTCCTTGACACACAACCACCAATGAGGTTTGTTCTTGAGTGTCAAGCAAGTACGGATGAGCTTCTGTTTATCATTGAGGTCCTCTATGTATGTGAGTTTACCTATGTTTATCAATGTGCCTAAATTAAATGTTCATCTTATAAAGCAATTGTCTCTCTTCTCGATTCAAATGGATTCGTTTTACCATCTTAATGAACTTTTTGAAGAGTGAAAGTTGGTAACGGATTTTCAATGGAGGTACAGAAAACTCAGGTTTCATTAAAAGTATCTACATTTGTGTTTCAAAGATCAACAAAAGCCTTATGGGCTTGGAACAACATGAGAGTGAGCAATAACAGCAGTTTCAGTTTTGGGTGAACTACTATTTTACAAATGTGTCATTCCCAACAATTTTCAGAGGACAAAAAGCTGTTGGTTGTGAATATCACATATTACAAAACATATAGTGTTTAATTAAGTCACTAAAAGCCGTGTTTTTTTCCATGCGCATCAAATTAAATATGGCATCAACTCTGACTAAGTTGGATAACCACAAAGAGGCATTGTGTACCGTCTCATACCAGAACACAGCATACGCACGTCTTGCACTCTGAAGTTTCTCTCTTTCTCAATATCATCCTTTCACTTGTTTAACATTTCAATCTTTTTCACACTTGAGAGTGAGAATAAAGGCAAGGCATATTTGCGTGTCTGAACTCCCAGCTAGTCTCTTCATCATCCTCTCATTACATGCGTCTCGGGATGTGGGACGGGTGGGGCTGTGATAAGCAGCGGGGCTATTAGGCAAACACTCTGCCATTAGTCAGCCATCTTGCCAAGCCAACGTCTATCTGACAGACAGTCAAGAGAGATGCTTTCAAAGCCAGGCCCAACTCTCTTTCCCTCTGCCAGGCTAAGAGCACTCGCATTCCGGAGCAGGCATCTTTTAGGGCGGCACTAATGGGTAGACTTTTGTCATTTAGTCCTAAAGAGATGGCAGCCATTTACCATAGGCTCCCTGCCTGTCAGAGCTGATGTAAGTAAGTGTTACGGGCGTGTTCTCTCGCACTGACTGAACAATTATTTCCTCCAGTCCCTCCAGAGAGCCTGATCCGAATCCCCTCTGCCTATTGCTTTTTTGTTAAACCTGAAGAGACCAGATAAAGGAGTCATGCTGAACGTTCTAGCGATATTATTCTTAGTGAACGACACAACACATCAGAAATTATACTTAGGACAACAGACATAATGCAAATGTGTTTGTGGCTGTGTGAATGTGTGCATCTCTGGGGTGTGGGTCTCATTAACACCTCCCGGCAACACCCTTCTGCTCTGCTTCCTGAATGCCCACTCAAATCAGTCATGTTGCCGTCTACACAAGCGGCCCTCTCTAACCCCACTCCTTCAGCAGACAGACTGGGCCTTACACTCTCACACATTGTCTATGTTGTCTTGTTGTCTCATTGTGCCTTATGTGAAGTTGCTGACAGAAATGGACTGAAGATATTTCAGATGGGAGCCAAAAAAACCCTTAAGAACAACAAGAAATATTAGCTAGACATTGTTAATACCACTAGAGATGCTTTGTTATGGTTGCCAATTACGTTTAAAGGAGCAATCTTTATACTTTATGATTACTGAACATTAAAGCGGATAATACAATTGATGAATGAAAATACTTTAAATACTTTTGAAAGAAGTCTCGTATGTTCATTTATTTGATCAACAATGCAGTAAAATAGTAATATGGTGAAATAGTATTACAATTTAAAATATCTTGTTTGTTTTTTTAAATATATATATTTTAAAAAGTCATTTATTCCTGTGATGGTAAAGCTGAATTATCAGCAGCTAATCCAATCTTCAGTGTCACATGAACCATCAGAAATCTTTCTAATATGCTGATTTGGTGTTCAAGAAACATAACTTACATATATTTTATGGAAAATGGGATCTTCATAATGTAGACAATAAGGCAGCTAATATGGTATTGGGACAGAGCCTATTTTACAAAGTCCTTTCATTGCACAGCTGATGGAAATAATGGAAGCTTTCCAGCATCTCTATACATTTTATGATCTCACTGTTACAGTGTGTTGCCATCAGACCCATTAAGAAATTATCAGCAATATTGATACACTTTCCTTTTTGACAGTTAAAGAAAGTGTTTTGGTGTTGTCTTTTGTGAGTATGGACATGGGTCAGAGAGGTTAGAAATGTGTATTCGTACACTGCACTCTGGCATGGGTGGTCTGGGCTGTCTCTCCTCTGGGTTTTTATGAGAAGAGTGATGTGCCCTGCAGATGTTTCCACACATGCCACATTTACACAGCCATTATAAAATCATTCCTCATCTCTTTATGACACGAGAATGTTGCTCTCCATGTTGAAAGCCTGCGCAGTCAAGAAAAAAATCAAAGAGAGTAAAATATAGCCCTTTGCGGATTTCAGAATACGTTTTACAATCTCTCTGAAATTCTTTAGTCTGATCGCTCACTCATACTCTTTCTTGATCTCTCTGTTTTTCCAAAGAGCTCCATCCAAATCTGAACCACCTGATAATAACCCACCACCTCACTGCAGCCATTCAGGCCTCAGACCGTTTTATTTAGTGTTTTCTTAAAAAGAGCGATCCATACATCTCTGAGCAGTCTGGTTCAGTTGGACGATAAATAAAGATGGCTTTGGGGCGCCGTTCATTGACTATGAAACAGGCACATGGTTCGCATTTTCCAGCTCTATCGGCACGCAGGAGGACAGTAAATTCTGAAAGAGGAAAAACCACTAATTTACATCCTCACTTCCACCATGCCATTGACTCATATAAATTACCTCATTATGGCAGCTGCATTGCTGTGTTGCCGTCCCGAGTACGTCCCAAATGAGACCGCCAGGCTCAGAAGATGATTTACTCGATACTATAATGGCTCTGGTGATTGAGCTGAAGTGGGGATGGAGGCTGATTCTACTCTACGGGATTTATCAAAGCACAAGACGGGCTGACGGTACCTTGATGTATGACCTCATGGAGAAGAGATTGGCGAGCATAGTGGACAGGCCCTGTGCCAGGCAACTCTGGGCTATGAAGCCAGCCTTCAACTCGGCCAAGCAGATCGCATCATCACCCTCCTTCCAGTTCCAGCTGGGAATGTTTAACAGATGGGCCTGAGGACACATGGGACGAGAAAAGGGGAAGTTAACAATGTCCCCCAGCTGAGATGTCTAACAAGTGTAGTAATGAAAAACACCAGAAAAAAATTAAAATCTAAATATTTCTTACAGTTTAGGGAGAAGTTGTAGTTTTCTATACTAACTTGTAGCAAATAAACATGAATTTATTATATATTATATTAAGGTTTGTAACACACAGTACAAAACACTGTCAAAACACAACGTGTTACAACAGCCCCAGTTCTCCCCTGCCTTGTTAGATTATATAAATCTGTCAAACTGATAACGCAAATCTCATAACAGTAGCACGTCACTATCAAATCTCATTGCTAAAACAGCAGGTTCTCTGACAGTCCTCTAAAACAGTTGTCTACAGTTGACATTCAATTGCTCTCGAGTGAACTGTCCCATGAACAAAAAACATTCATCAAGTCATTAACATCCATCTCCTGTTCTAGCGTTCCCTGATGAATACAAAGCTGTGTTCATGTTGGTGTTATAGGGCAAAAGCACTAAACACACTCTGTATTTGATTCCCTTGAACTTATAAATCTACCATTGTCATGGAAAGCAGAATCTGAGGGCCTGTTCTCATATGGCACATTTATTTGACACAAGTCAGGTTTCTGATCACTTTTATAGCCTCTTTGTAACATTGTATGTGCTGTATTCTTTCTGCTTAGGTCGTCAACATTTTATTGTTGATTTGACTTGACAGCAACAAAACAAAAAAATACATTTCCTACCTTATTGTGGTATTGCAACATTTGAGTGATTATTCTGATCTTTGGATGGTAGTTCTTGATAGATATTACTCTGTAAAAAAAAAGGAGAGAAGTCAACATGAAACAGCATTTTTGCAGCAAGGGAAATAAACATTTCTGCTTTAAATAGAATATTCAGGGGGAAAAAATATGCAGCAGAGAACTTAATTTTATTCTATTATTTATCTAGGGTATATATATAATCAACCAAATGCTGTTCTTTGAACCTTAATTATCAAATAACCTTGAAAAAACTGTATCGTATCATATATATGTATATACACACACATTTTTTTCTTTACTGTCACTTTGAATCAATTTGAAACATTCTTGCTAAATAAAAGTATTATTTCTCAACAAAAAAAATACTGACCTCCTTTTGAACAGTAGTATATGAACAGCACTTTCGAGAAATATCATCAACATGACTTACACTCACATGAGAAAACTCTAGACATTAATCTTCTAGTAAAATCTGTTTTATTCTGCATGGAGCAGGTCACTCCCTCATGTAAACAAAAACGTATTAAGTGCACCTTTAACCTCCAGAACTGTCCCAGTATTCACCATCATAAGTCACTTTGGATTAAAAGCAAGCATCTGCTGAATGAATAAAAAACCAATTCATCTTTCATTTCCATAGAGAAGCCTGTGATATGTGGCAGAACAGTGTGACTTTACTGTGAAATCTAGTCTGGATTTCTCTCCAGTCTCATAAGAGAGGTGCAGAATTTATTTCCATATTAAGCTGCTCTATAACACATAGTTCAAAAGAGCATTCCAAGACATGCCTAAATTAATATTTCATTTTCCGAACAGGCCAGACTGTGTGCAATTCTGTGCGTTACATGGCTAAAGAACATCTTCAGCATGAAAGGAGGAAGTGAAATATGTTTGCCCCCCCCTTCACACACTCTTTCAGAGCAATATTAGTTGACTCCATCCCAAAGGAAATTCCTCCTGACTCTTTTCATCTGTGTCCAGGTATATAACATGTGCGAATCTGACCTGGGACGCCGACTATCCCATTCACACCTTTCTTTAACAGCACAGGAGGGTGAAAGACATCAGCTTTCAATACATCTGTTTTACAGTAGGATGTCTCTAGTGAGTGTGATGCTGCTGCACAAAACAAGATGTGTTGAAATGTGTCTAGAGTTGATAGCCAACTGTAACCCTTCACCGAACTGACCTCATGATATTAGAGGCATCTTCAGCATCAGGGTCTCCACAGTATTTGTTTGCAAGAATCAAGCAGGCATCAGCTGACTCGATCTGTACAAGATGGAAAAGAAAAGGTGAGACGGCGGTGTTCAGAACAGCATAAAAATGGACACTAACAACCTCCTGCATTATTCTCTACAACATCCCTACGATTCTGTGTCTGTAATAAACAAATTAATTAGATAATGTATCAGTGTATGACACCACTATTAAACCAAAATGGGAGAAATGCTGTGTTTTTATGACGTTACCTTCACTCTTGCTAGATCATGTGGGTTAAGGACAGATCCTTGATAGAATTCCACCTGAGTGAAGTGACGTTTGAACAAGGCTTCCAGCTCAAGATTAGGGGAAATACTAGAGTATGGCAAAAATAGAAAGTATGTTATTAACCAAGTGATGTAAAGCTCTGCAATTTTGAGAATGTTTTCAACTCAAAGGAACAATGTTACATGTGTGCGTCAAACAAAAGAATGTAAAAAAAGATTTAGTTACTGGCTGATCTCCTTGTTATATAAAAACAGGCAACTATATGTGATTTCTTTGTTTTTCTTAGTAACACACAGTCATTATATTCTTTACAGTGGGCAAAGGCTCCATCAATCTCATAAAATGTATTCCGAAGGGAATTGTACTTACTTATGAAGAAAAACAATTTCTACATTGACATCATCCCTGTCCTTGTGTAGGAAGTCTTTAAGGAAGTTGGAAACACTTTCGAGCGTGATATGACCACAGACCACAATATGCCTGTAAGGGGGAAAATTCAGCTGAAGAGCGCAACATAAAATAAAACAAAACTCTGGCATATCCTAAAAAAAGCAAAAAGTCCAGAATAATAACCGAAATGTCTTGAAAACATTAAATGTTGTGGCTTTCAAACATTTGCTGTCTGTTATAGTCATAATAGCACATGTTGCTTTACCTCAAATTTATAAACATGGTTTAAACACTAAATTAAGTGCTTTGAATTTTTCAGGGCAAACAAAATTGAATCTTACTTTTTAATGTTGGATTGTCAAATGTTCTTAATAAGGTATGTCTCTGTAGCCAAAACCACCCTTGTGCTAAGACGCATGTTGACATGTACATCAGTACTAACTGACATGTATCGGAACCTCTGTCAAAAGCAGTTAAATTGTTTTTGGATCTGTGGCTGCCTTGAACTCTAACCGTGACTTCTCTGGACAGGCACCGAATGAAAAACTTGTGATGCATCAGATGGAACAAACAAACAGACTCAAATGGATTGTTCCAGAGGTCACGGTCTTCTGGGGCTCATTAATTCTGCCTCTATAGTACGATCTAGTTTCATACTCTAGAGCTGTTCCAAAACCTAGTAGTGAGTTGCCTTGACATCTACTGGCTATATAGGCAGCGCTCAAATAGCACTTCTGTGCAGTATTAGCTAAAGTTAAAGATGCAATAATCACACAAACAAGAGTGCTGTTATTCACACTGTAAATTACATCAGTACAATAAACAAACTACTTCATATTGAGTAATTTACATTTTAGACACAACATTGTTGTCTATTTTTGTTCCGCCAATGAAAATAAAATCTAAACAGGACCAACTGTTTCATCTCAGAGCAATATACAATAATGTTGTTTCATTCCTGAATGTATCAGTATTTGGTCAAATTGGTTGAAAAATTTATTCAGTGACTCGCTCATAAACATTCTCACTTGTTTCATCTATAAATGTACTGTATCAGTGTTTTTAAACAAAATGGTAGAGTAAATAATTCAGTGACTCATACATGAAGACACTGTGTCCGAAATCGAGTAGGTACTACATTTGAATTTGAATTTACTTTGAGACCGTTATAAAAAGGTATGTTCTATATAGTATGAATACAATTTAGATGCATTACACCCGCCATGTTGTTACTGTCACGTGACCTACCAGTGCACACTCGGACATGCTATTGTTTTTCGCATATTATATAGTAAAGAAGTATTCGTTTTCGGATGCAGCGACTCACTTGTTTAATTTCTGAATGAATCACTGTGTTTTGAATCAGTTTAGTCAATGATTAAGTGACTCACTTATAAAAGACACTTGATTCATTTTTGAATTAATCTGAGTATGAATGAATCAGTTTAGTCAAAGATTCAATGATTCACTCATAAAGATTGTCACATTTTTCAGTGCTGGATAAATCAGTGTGATTCAATAACTCAAAGAAAGTAACTTGTCGCCACCAACTGGCACAGCGATGTAACTTGCAAAAAGAGTCACTGAGAAATCCCTCAACTGAAGGTTGTTTTCAAGCCTTTAAACTATATACCATACTACACACTAATGCACTTTAAATTACACACCAAAGTTGTTCTCAAGAGTTTTACATGTGCAATGATCTGACTCACATAAAAGATTACGGCCCATCATTACTATCCCAACAACTTAATGGCCACTTCTATTACTGTTGCAGAACAATAACCATGTTTTATTTGTCAAGCAGAGCTTCTATGCAACAGGAGGTTAAAGAGTTGAGCTGTAGCCATTGGGTTTTGCGGATCACTTCACTTCCCATGCTGGATGACTCCAATACTGCTGTGGTCAAAGTCTCAAGAGCTTTAACCGTGCATGGTAATCAATCTAAATCTGTCCAAACTAACTCTCTCCCTTCAGCAGACTCAATGTGTACAAAGAACAGGGGCTGCTGACCTTAATTGTAACTGGGTGTATGTGCCTGTGCTCTCTCAGGTGCTGGAGAGATGTACTTGTTTGTGCTGAGATCCAGGGCAAACATTAAGCGGATCTCTGTTTGCCGGAGGGACCTGATGAGGCTTTATGAGTGCAGTGTCTGGATGCTATCACACATAATGATCTTCACAGATCTGGCCTCTTGTATTTAATGAGTGGTAGTAATTGCATGCTTGACTGTCCTGGGATGAGAAGACTCTGTTGAGTTGATGGTTTGGTCTAAAGCCAACAGTGTCTGGCAAAGGGGTGGCTTGATGAGAGACACATTATTCATGTTTTCCTATTTCCAAAAATGCCCATTTGTGAGCTTTAGCTAAATCGGAGGGTTTTATATGACAATGGTCTCACTCTTTTTTACTCTAGAACAGCAGAGTCTCTGGCAGGGATACAAATACACTCTGCCTCGGCTTATGTCAGACATCTTGTCTCCATGTTTGGATGAGCCATCAGTGGTGCGTGACTGTGCTACTGATTGTGTTTCACCACTGTGGGGGAGGTTTTTTATTTTTTTTTATTTTTTATTTATTTATTTATGGTACTGCCAATGAAATAAAACCATGCAAAAGACTATTAGGTAAGACTAATGTCATTATGGGCTGTATTGGTGTTGAAATGATCAGATATAATTCTGACAGAATACTTTGACTTTTTTTTATTTAAATTCTTTATAATATAGTAGATTTGATCAGAGGTCGATTATTTTTTGTTTGTTGTTTGTTTGTTTGTTAAAGAATAACAAGACAGCAATAAACATAGAGGTAAATATTTAACTAGTCATGTGATCCTAACATATGAGCCTCCATGAGGCCCGTTGTAAAATAAAGCAGCTTTTATTAGGCTACTGATATGACTAGAGTCTTAATGTGAGTGTACATCAAAATTGTTAATCTTAAATTACTGAGTGCACCTTTAAAGACTTACAATAGCACTTGTAAGTCTAGCATTTGTCTTGGCATTTGTTGTAGAATTTTAAACTTCTTTAAGTCTGTATAGCCACAATATTGTTCACAAATAGGGGAATTAATTAGTTTAAAAATAAATTAAAGTTATTTTAATCACTGATTAAAAGTAATATGAATAATAAACACCAGAGCATTTTAACTAGAAAAGAAAACTGTACATTTAAAATATAAAAATGTTTAAAAAAAAAAAATAATACTGGAAAAACTTCATATCTACACACTTAAGATGTCGTCAACTTAAAATACACACACACTAAAAACACTACACTGTGAACAACACACAGTGAAGAGAACACTTGGGTTACAACACAATGTTACGCACGATAAGGTGAAATAAAATGTTAAAAAATATGCACAAACAGAGCAATCAAATGCAGAAGAGCAGTTACCCAGCATGCACTGTGAAACATGCCAAAAAAAAAAAAAAAAAAAAAAAGGAAATCGTAATCAAAATTTGAAGAAATTAAAAACAACAAGCTCGAACATCAGCCTCAGCAGCGAAACCATTGATACTGCTCTAATCCTTAAACTGATCAATCATTTCAGAGCCGAACGAAAAGCCTGTTTCCGCGCTCGACTTTTATAAATCAACAACATTTTAGGAACAGATAGCTGTGAGGAGAATGTCACCTGATGAAAGGGGTGAATGCCTGCACTTCTCTTCAAACCAAGAGAGAACAGAGCTTGAGATGGACATGTGTAGTCCATATGGAGCCAGGGCTCCATCATCATTATGACTTGATGCAGGAGAACAATAATGAATTTAATTTGGCAACTCTTTAGCCAGTAACACCTCTTTAAACTACTGTAATTGTTCAAAAACACTTCATTATGTCATTTTTTACTGCAATTTCCCAGCATATGCTGTAAGGCTGGGTATCGCTCAATGGTAACCAGATATCTAACACTAGGGGGACCAAATATAAAAGGTTAAGAATCGACCATTGACGCCTATATTTCCTGATTGGTTAATTGTTACACATCACAAGAGTGGATCAGTTTTAATCTCTCTCATGAGGTTTGTTTCAGAGTGTTTGCTTTGACTACCTGCTTTTCATTAATTAAACTGGAAAAAAGATATCCCAAGTATCCAAGAACTGAAAAGACGTTTAAGCAGCATTTATGGCCAGTCAATGTGGTTTGTGATGGGCAATTTTTTTGCATATGAATTCTAAGTTAAACCATATTTATGGGACCCAGCAACTCATGTTTTCCTCTGTAGAGGACAATTGGTTTCCCGATTTCACAAAATGATTTCCAGAGTGTAAAGATACATTCTAGGCTTTACAGTGATACCAAATATTTAGGGGTTTGGCCATTACAATTTTAAACAAACTTTTATGGCATTAGGAGCATTAGGACTGTTATTTCGGAGTGTCTATTTACAGCAAGTACAAATAGCCTGCCTTGTTGACAGAGGCTATTTACACAAATTAGACTAAGTTTATAATATTATAATAATATATATTACACTGAAGTGCAAATATTATCTGCCACTATCTGCACTAAGTATAAATAGCATCTAACTACTATTTACACTTAGTGCAAATAGCAGCTGCCATATTTTGTTATCATCAATCATAATTGGACAGTTCGGAACACCCATTTTTGTCCATGTTTATAAAAATTGTGTAATGAATAAATCAGAAAGTGAACGTTATATAAACAAATAATTCTGTAACATTTTATAACATATTTGAGAACTTAAATGGACAGTTCACCCAAAATGTGAATTCTGTCATCATTTCCTCACCCTCATGTCATTCCAAACCCATTTTAGTGTTGTTATAATGTTGTTATATATTCTATTTCAGTTTTAGTTTCAGTACATGTATTTAAACTTGTTATCAGTTAGTTGACAAGGCAACATTTCGAATTCCATCTAATATTAAAATTGTATTTTAGCTTTATTTTAATTAATGAAAATAATTTAATTAATGAAACTAATAAAATAGTTAGTTAACAATAACAACACACGAGACATTCTTCCATGTGACACAAAAAAGGATATTTGAAAGTCGCTAAAATCTAAACATGACTTTTTCTTTTTTTTACATTTTTCTCTTCTTTCTGTGCTCCAGAGAAGAAAGAAAGATTTGGAATGACGTGAGTTTAAATGAAGAGTAAATTATGACAATTTACATTTTTGGGTGACTATCCATTTAAATGCAAAGTCAGGATCATACATGTTTAGTTGAAGTTGACAGAAAACTATGTCAAAGTGCTGAAAAACACTCATTTACATTAAACACCTATTAAATTCAGATTCTGCTAATTCATATTTACACTATTGATCATTCAAAGACAATTAAATATATTTTAATTTAATTGTGCCTTGATTTATTTTCCTCAACATACTTTTTGTTTTGTCATGTTTTTCATGCAGCATATTTTTTCTTCTTCTGCTGGGTCCCAGGAGGTTATACATAAATACAAGTTTCTGTTAAATCTCAGCCTTATAACTAGCAGGAGAATGTTCAATGCAGTAAGCTGTCCAACATCACAGACTATACATCAAATTGTCAGCTATGCATGGATAGTTCCCCTACACACCTGAGCAGAAGTCAGGAAGCCAGATGACTGAACCTCCATGATCTCACTCGTTTTAATGCGTTGTGAGAGCCATATCAGTAATGGCATTTCTACATGTCATTTCACCCTCTTTCAACTCTTACTCCATGCATGCTCATGCCAACACAGACCTGGTCTGACTGCTGCGGGGCAAGCGGTGCCGGCTCCACATACTTGGTGTGGCTTCGATTCTGGAGAGAAGCTCAGAGGCGGCGCATGAGCTCAGAGTTCACTCAGGGTTTATGCCAGTTTCATCTGCGCTCTAATGGAAACCACAGAGACCCCGGCCTGATCCAACAGAACGCTGCTCTATATTACAGTCATAGATCCAGATCTGTGATCCCGTTCTGATGGCTAAACATCATCAGAACACGCTGCTGACATAAACAGCCATCACAAACCTGGCTGTGGCATTGATTCAATAGCAGAGATTACACTTCAAACTACTGCAAGGCTCGATATGCCATGACCGTAGTGTCAAGGCGCAAGACAAAAAAAAAAAATGACTAAAGAGCTATTGGTTTCTAAATGGAAACATTTACAAATTACAAAATCACTCTATAAAGATAGTTGTTCACTTCAGTTCAGTGAGTGCACAGCGTCTTTAGCTTTTAACAAAAGACATGTGCTGTGTTAAAGGGACTATAGTATATGGACTATGATTATGATTTTTTTTTTATACACTACTGTTAAATCGCCCTAATGTTCAACCAAGGCTACATTTATTTGATCAAAAAACATTAAAAACTGTAATATTGTGATATAAATTATTTTATATTACAATTTAAAATAGCGGTTTTCTATTTCATACATTTTAAAATGTAATTTATTCCTGTGATGGCCAAGCTGAATTTTCAGCATCATTACTCCAGTCTTTTTTTTCTTCTTTTAAATAGCATTTATTTGAATGATGTAGAAATGTTAACAATATAAATGTCTATACTCTCACTTGCATGCTTCAATTTAACCCCAAACTTTTGAACAGTAGCGTAGATATAACTTGATGCTGTCACTCTAGTAATTTGTCCATCACAAACAACATTGATCATAAATACTGTTTAAGAATAATTCTGTTTGATAAAAATAAAAGAAAAGAAAAATCACACCAACTAATCTTTACTCCCAAAGTTTCGTCACTTCACTATGATAAACAACCAATCACATTGTGATAATGGTTCAGACATAAACAAAAAACTCCTTACAGTTCAGTTATTAACATTATCTGGTGATCAGGAAAAACAATTGCATATGGATACACTAATTTTTGCATACAAGATAATTATTATAATTTTACTGTCATATTTGTGACCATTTTAGTCAATCTGGAACCCAGTTATTAAGATAACAGATGGATCTGGATATTAAACAATTATGCAGAAAAGCAAAATGGAATAAAAAAAGACCTGCTTTCGCTGCTTCCAGGTTATTCCCACAAATATGATAAGAATACTTTTATTAATAATAATAACTATTTTAAAAATAATCTATAATCGTTGGTCTTTAATTCAAGCTAAACTACACTTAACATTAGTATAATCAGCATTTATATAACATTTATGCAGCTTCCAAAGCTTATTCATAAACACCTACTCATGGACTGTTTATTTTTTATTTTTTTTACTTGAGGCTCTTTTGTGAGTTTATGCAGAATTAGACTCTAAACGTATGTATTTTGCACCAGCCCGAGCTTGTCGGAAATGTGCTGACAGTTGAAATAAATATCTCGACACATTTATTTCGAGGTGTCGTGCTGTGTCCGTTCATGAGCACTCAGTCCCATGCATATTTAAACAATAAGGCAAAGCCTGGTGCCTGTCTCTCTGCTCGGCCAGAGAGCTGGAGCCTACTGTAATTGCAACCAGATGCATGCATAGCCAGAGAGAAAGAAAGTGAGAGAAAGAGAGAGGCTCAGCTCTTTTGACAAGGCCTTCTCTCAACACCAGACTGCGAATCCAAACGTGGGGCCGAGGCCAAACATAACATTTCATCAATCTTGTTTCACTGACAGCGAAACGGCATCAAACAAAGGGGCTCCTAATGACTTTCTCCCGGCTTAGTATTTGCCCTCAAATTCAGATGATGAAAGCCGGACGTGACCGTGGGCCTGTTTCACGCTGCGTAATGGGTTGGGAAATAGTGCGCACGCAAGAGAGAGAGAGAGAGCGGGCTCTAGAACTTAGAAGCGAGCGTTTGGGAGAATCGCTGTGCTGATGACAGGGCCGTGTTTGAGCCAGAAAACGAGTGGGGGGAGGGGGTTTAAAGTATCCACATTCACATTCAGGGGTCATCTTTGAAAAGGAAAAGAAAAAACGGAACATGATAAAAGTACCAAGCGGGGCAAAAAAGCAAGCCAATTGCAATGGAGCAGCTCCAGTGCGAGAGCTGAGGCATCCAAGCATTCAGGGTGAGCGCTGACTGAAGATCAGGGCCAGAGTCATGTCACACGGAGATGAGGTTATGAGCCAGCAGTGACGCACAGCCAGAGAGGCTTTTCTCACTGCAGCATGCACAACCAAACAAACAAACAAAAAAAGCCAACAGACATCCATTCACAGAGAGCATGCGAGAGATGGATCAAGCATGACGAGTAGAACTCAAAGAACAGAAAATTGAATCAAACACAAGACAATGATGACACTAAGTAAACAGCGTCTTGTATCTGAGCATCATAAAACTAGTTCTATGAGCTAATGATTTCATTTTCTAACATTTACTGTGCTCATTTATATTACAAATACGAAACAGACACCCATTCTACAGCAGCACATAACGGATGGAAAACCAACAGCAGTCACTGTAATGAAATTAAAAATGCAGCAGATGTGTTACGAAAAAGAAGCCACGGACACAGAGCAAAGGGCATGGACATGTGGCTCCGATGGCCAAGGTCTCCAGTCACAGTGTGACTTTCATTTGTCCTATAATTTGTTGTCTGCACTAACCCCCTCTCTATCTGAGAAGGGGGAGTTTGAGTCACACAACCACACCTGGTTCTGGATTTTGACTTACTTTCTGCCTCGTGTCGAGTTATAACTCCCTCCATATTTCTTCCGATTAAGGATGAGAGCAGCAATTTCTGGCACGTAGCGAGCAAACATGGCCTACATGCATGGAACAGAAAAAGAAAAGGGCATGCAAAGAGGGGTTCTGCTGTGACCGAGGCCACAGAGGCACCTTGAATACTTACTTTCTGCCATTTACCGCACTATAGGAACCACCATATTTCTTGCGGTTTCCTATTAACTCTATGATTTCAGGGACGTAGCTGGCAAACATGGCCTAAGGAGAAGATGGGAGACAGAAGCAGAGGCTAAAAAAGAGAGCGGAGAGACCCGTCTGAGTCTGGATTTTTACCCCCAACCTCTGAGGTGCAGAAATTGATAGGGACGCGTGTTTTGTCGGGGGGAAAAAATGGTGTAGCTTGGTAAAATGTTCATAATTTTTAAACGTCCATTGTGCTTCTGAAAGGATCTTTTTAATTGAGGGGGAAACAGAATAATGGACAAAAAGCCAACTTTGGAGACACTCCACTTTTTTTCTTTTCTTTTTTTTATTGGTGCTGCCCATCTGTTTTCTCTGACAGCACAAAAAATATCTTGTGAAAACGAAGAGAAAGAAGAAAAAAACCTACATGCCATGTTTTGTCCAACAAACACTATTGCAGTGGCAAGTGTATTTGAATAGTCCAGCCTGATCGCCCACAGCTGCAAAGCACATTAAGACTCATTAGTGTGCTTTAAATGAGCTGGATGCGCTTTGCAAGATTGCAGCCTTGACTAAGTTCTGTTTTATCTCCACGCAGCATGTTACTAGAGATCTTAATCCCTGAGTTGTCAGCCTGACCTTCCGAAGAGAGTTGTGAGTTCTTCACCCCTCTCTAGGGCCCTAATGAATTATGACATCTGTCTGATCAGACCTGACGGTTTACAACATTTCCATACTGAAGTCATTAATTGAACACCTGATATAAAGCAGAGAAATGATTATTTCCAGTCCTCCTCAAAAACAAAAAGAAATAGCAGATTGCTATGGAAACTTCTGGACAGCTGGAACGTTCTGTCCAGTGATAGGAATGGAGCGCATCTGTCCTGCGTTATGTTTATATGAACTTCACATGAGAGTTATTGAATGCCTGTGGATGATCTATACCCTGATCTTGAGTCTGTTAACCAGCAAGACCCTAAGGCTGGACGATATATATTGATTTTTGAATTTGTATAATTTCCTTGAATCGTTTCTTTTTAACTTTTCAAAATGACATCCCCTTAAAAAACGTATTCACTGTAAAAAAGTGAAAATGAGTTACCTTAAAGAACTGTTTCTATCTGATCTGACCCATTAATTTGACAAGCGCAACCAAATGTATTCATGTTCACGCAGTAATGTGATGAAACTATTAAAAGATGCCACAATATTTTTAGGCTCATTTAAAAAAAAAAAAAAAATTCCATTATTCATATTATTCTGTTCATGTGGAAAACGTCCTTTTTTAATTAGATTTTTACGGTATTTAATGTCTTATGCAATAATTATTATATAAATGAGAACAGGCCTATCTGATAGGATTTAAATGACAGTATTTATTATATAATTATATATCTTTTTTAACTACACTTTTTTAAACTAAACTTGATAAATGTTAATTGCAGTTTGAAACCGTAAACTGATCAAATCGAATTACAATCGAACTAAATCTAATAATCCCAGCTGCTTATCTCTCATTTATTTGCCGTTCTCCTCTTCTAAATCAGTTTAACAAAAAAATCCTGCAAAACATACACAGCTAGTCTTCATCTGTGTAATTATATTTTTCTGTTTCACCATCTGAAGTTGCGCTGGTGTAAATGCACTCTTTTTAGTGTTTGTGGCTGCTGTTGCTATGGAGACGCTCAAGCAGGACTATGGGCCATCCGCCTGCCACTGTGTTTGTTGGAATTCGGGGAGGGAAACAGAAGGATGGGATCTCCTGAAACCGCAAAACTGTTTTAAGAGAATAGCAACAACATTATCGTCAAAATACATTCTTTAAAGACTATTTTAAATGTATTAAACATGAGTGGTAGTGTCATACAGCATCTACAAGAATTTACACAATACATGTACATTTCATCTTAACTTGGGCTGTAGTGTTAAAACAAGGTAATGGATTTTAAAGGCAGGGGTGCAAACGTTACAAAGACAGTGGACGTATACAATATGGTAAAAACAGCGTTATAATTTGGGCCATTATGAAGACTGTGGAAAGACGACAGTTATGAGAGTCAAATCACAGGAGTTGTCTTATTTTTACATGGTAGTTGGAGCAAGGCGTTTGCATGGGGTAGGGGAAGGGGTGCAGGAGGGGTGCATCGAGTGCCTACAAGAGGAAAAGTGTTTTTACCAGACCACCAAGAATGAAGAAGACCATGAAAAGGCGTCCAAGAGTGGTTCTTGCATAGACGTCTCCATATCCCACAGTGGACATAGTGACCATTAATAAGTACACACATTCCCAATATGAGAGCGGTTGAGAGTTTTGAAAGTTTTCCCATGGATCCCCTGAGTTTTCCACCTGCAGTGGAGAGGAGAGCGAAGAGAGAATTACTGAGCGATCAAAACACGATCCTCTACAGCCATCTAGTGTCCATAGAGAAATCACAAAAATGAATTGTGAGAGAAACCAAACTGAGGATTTAGTGGCAATCAGAGTCTTTACTGCCATCTAGTGGCACAGATGTCCTCTGGCACATCCTGATAAGAAAATAAATAATAATAATAATAATAAAAATACGGAAAAGGAACAACAAAACACCAAACCTTTAGATGAACTACAACACAAACCATATACGGCACAAAGGGACAGACGTGACGCTCGTTTAGGAGCTTTTTCCTCCCACGAATCTGCACGTGCACTCCTTTCTTTGTCAGTTTCTCCTGGGGCATAGGGAGAGGGGGGGCGTGTGTGTGTTTTTTCACTCACCAGATGAATGAATCCTGCAGCAGTGAGCCATGTGCTTATGAAGATGGAACACAGGTTCACCAGCTTGATGGAATTACTGTGAGAGACGAGAGTTACATCAAACCTCTCAAAGTGAAACGCATCACACTGACGTACAGATCAGTCAGTCATCTACTGAGCCCAACACACACACGAGCGGCCGCTTCCAGCCGCGCCTTGCCGTAACGCTGCTCACTGGGAGTGAACACACAAGTTATCAGCAAACAAATCAGAAGACAGTGGAATCCCGAGGATGACCAGCGCATATCTAAAGAGGCGTTCACACTGTTGGTTTCTACTCTACAGCGTGTCAGGGGGTGGATTGCATGCTAGTTCTCTCATTGGTAGTCGGCACATCATGTCACTGTGCGTTTTGCGTACAGATGACCCCAACTATGTTATGTCGGCAACTTTCCTGATGCTCATGTCACCTCAAATTGCCACTCTCACTGAAAATGAAAGACTTCTGGTCACTGCAAATCGGCGTCAATGTGAACACCCCTTCTTTAGCAGCCAATGAGAGAAAATACAGTGGTGGAAATGTAACGTCCTGTTGACAGCTGTGTCAGGTCAGTGTGATATATCTGAGCAATTTCCCCCGAATGAAAAACGAGATAGCAGCTAAAATAAATGAAATGTCCAGCGGTTTTACAACCACTGAGTTGGGTGCTGACTGCTTTTTCCCCACTTCCTTTCTGATTCATTGACTTTTTTTTTTACGAAATACCACGAGATCTGTCATGTGTGTGACAGCCTGCCGGAGGAGGAATCAATCAGAGGCCTGTCTGCTTCATACTCTTGCACTCATCAGGGTGGATGGCGGCCCTGTTCTCTTACCTACAGCACACTAAAAGCGCACAGTGTGGGATTAATGTAAAACATTCGGCGCAGACTTCTGGGTCAAGTCTGGGTAAGTGAAGGAACGGACACCAGAGACCGTACAGACTGTGTGTTGATGCCAGCGGAGTGGAGCTTTTGAAACGGACAGTGAGAGAGATGCGTGATATGTCGTCGGCCTTACCTTGTTTTTAAGATATTCAAAAACTGTAAAATTTCTGAGAACTGTATCAATCTCAAGGCTCTTAGAAACCTCAGACCTACAAGAGAGGAGAAAAGCAGAAAAGAATGAATAAAAAATTGTTATTGTAAAGCAATCTTTATGTTCAGAATGGAACACCAACTTATGGCATACTGGATTCTACATTTGATTTTAAATGTTGACCTCATGAATGGCTTGTCAAGCTCAGTTTTCTTTCTGGCATTGATGTGTTTAAAGTTAGGGTGGAACATATCAAAATGGATCTCTTTTTTTTATTGTTGTTTTTATTATTATTATTGTCAAAAAGCTTTAGTTTAAATCACAGCCATGCAATAAAGATTTGTATTAGTGTTACTTGCTCGTATTTTTGAACCTTACATGTTTATGTATATCCACAAAAAAGTTCTTAGATACATTTTAGGAGGGTTGAGGAGGACCTCATAATAACAGTACAAAAAGTCATAATAATAATAATAAAAATGTATGAGTCTGTATGTGAATCAACAAACAGTGTGATGAACATGTCAAACAGCAGTATACTGCTTCAACAGTCATTGGCATATTACACACAACTAGCATCACACAAATTTCAATGTAATGTTAAAATTACTACATTTTAGTAGCTCAGTCATATGATGAGTCACAAATAAAACAGATTTTCAGTCCATTTATTCTTCTGGAAACGGGAAGGTCAAGCACATTGCATTGTGAGTTATAATAATGAATTCTGACTAATATAGTAGTTCGTTCAGATATTTTCTGCATAGTGTGCAAACACTGCATTTCTAGTAAGAGTAGTATGGTACTTTGCCATTCCTAACAAACAAATTTGCCAATCTGAATATCTCATATTTTAAAATCCCTAACAAAAGTTTAGACATCTTATGAAAACTAGGACAATGATGTTTTAGAGTAACAATAATCATTACAGTAATATATATTTTTATTTACTTAAATGATTTTTAATTTTCTTATTTGTATTTATTAATCATTCTTAAACATAATTTTCATGACCATTTATTTTAAGCAAAACTACTGACACAACATGACCATTTACTTTAAGCAAAACTACTTTAAGCAAAAATATTGTTCCTCATACTTTTTTTTTTACAAATATCTGAAATATGACCTGGGCATGTCCCTGAGGTTTTTTGGTTGTTGTTATGTATTGCAATCAGTTGTTAAGCATGTATTATTTTAACAATTTATTTAGAGCTTAGAGTAGAGAAAGAAGAGTCATGGAGCAATCACATGTACGTGTGTGTGTGTGTGTGTATCAGGAAGCAGATTAGAGAACAATATCACCTGCTCCAGCAGACTTCTTACATAAACAGAATTTTTGTCCTGCTTTCAGCCTCAAAAACATAATCTATTCAGAAGCACATCACAACATCTTAGTTTTTCTCATTCCAAATTTGTACAAAAACTGACTCAATGTTCTTTAACCTGTTGAAGCTTCCCCCTTTTTGAGCCAAAACCATGACAATGTTGAAGAACGATGATGGAGGGCAGATCGTTCAAGCGAAATCTGACGTAAACAATAGATTATATAATCAACATTTCACAGATTTAACACTTTTGGACAAAAAGTGCTATTGGATGCTTTTCGATGGTCGATTGACTTGAACAATTTACCCAAGTGTAACGGATTGAATTAATCTTGCCATCACACCTTCATCAGTCTCATTTAGATTCTGCATGTTTTCATTTGTATTTCTGATAGGAATGACTATTTTACTGTTGCTGAAGCATTTCTATCATAAATCATAGAACAGATACTGACGCTAAACCCATAGGCCTTTCAATATATAATGTGTCAACATTTGTGTGAAGTCGGGCCAGAGAGCGGGGATCAGGTCCTGACAGGATTCACGCTTTCTCTTTGCAGAAATATTTGACGTCAAGTTTGAGGTTATCTTCAGCAACAGGAAACAAAAACACCTCAATAGAACTTGGATGTCTTACCCCATTTAGACAGCACATGGAGGCAGTAAAAAAAAGAGCTCTGACTGTCACTCCTGCCATCTCCAGTCTGGCCTGGGCCCAACTTCACACGGTAACCGTTCTGAAACAGCTCACCGCACGACTTTTTGCGCCGTACGCTCTCTTGAACGGTTTCCGTGACCAGAGCACCCCGTGGGCCCCGAAACACTAGCAGCTTGCTGGTGATCATGATTCTGAGATCCTACTACTCCTTTATAAATCCAGAAATGTAGAATGTGATGTTTCCTCAGAACTTATAAAATGTGCAACCTCAGATTTACTTGATCAAAAAAGAAAAAATCTAATTTTGACTCCGAGAAAAAGTGATAGAGCCTAGAGAGTCTCATAGAGCGTGAACGCCAGAATGTGTCTAAAAGACTGTTTAACAATACTAAAAACCCTTCAAGCTTAGACCGAGAAACCTGTCATTGGATGGAAATCTGATTGCAGCCACAATCTCTGACGTATTTGGTCTGATCTTTTCAATATTAAACTCCCACGCACGTATCTTGTCTTTGATCCCCTCTCTGTTTAAGCGAGGTGACTAGCTTTTGTATACACTGAACCCTTCTAGAGATTTAGATCTGTTAAAATGAAAACGGAAATGGAAAGAAAAAACAATCCTGAATTAATCACTGGGGTTGTACTTGAAGTGTTCTCATGAGTTTTTTTTATTTGTTTATTTTTATTTTACTGATAACTGTAATTCTGTGCAGAACTGTAATAACACAGAACTGTAATTCTGTGTTATACTCGAAAGATAATACATTTCATAGCAATAATTGCTTTCTAAATGAAGTGGCGTAATCTTGCTGTTGAACTCATCTATATTCACTGTACTCCAAAGGTGTCATAAAAGGAGATATTTTGATATGTTAATAACCAAACGCTTTAGGTTACCACTGACTTTCATTGCATGGAAGAACACTAATTTCACAAAATATGTTTTGTTGTTGTTGTTGTTCAGCAGAAGAAAGTAACTCATACAGGTTTGAAATGACATGAGGGTGAGTAAATGATTAGAATTTTTATTTTTGGCTGAACGCTTCCTTTAAGGCATCAGGAACGCTCCTGATACAAAGGCTGATTCAAAAGTAAGGCTGTTGTCAACATTATGTTGCCATCTAAGATCGCATGAACTCATTTTGACAACATTCTGGGCAGCTCCGCACGTATCCTTTCAAGAGAAGACAATCCAAGAATGTACTGTGGCAAGCTCAGTGCTAACAATGACTCCAAGATGGCAGACAAAATAAAATCATTACAGACATACTTTAAGTTTATTCAATACCACCAAATATCAAAATAAAGTAATTAAAGTATTAAATATAATTTTTAAAACGGACTATTTTACACAATATGTATGTGCCAAGTCTTGTTATACTAGCGGAGCAACCTATTATTTCTAATTCTCATTAAGTCTACTGTGCACTTTGCAAGAGAAACGCTATTTTCAATCTGTTCCAAGTCACTTAAAGGGGCAATATGTATACAAATTTTAATGTATTAATCGTTTTTTTGTGCTAATGTGTGAACAGTTTGTAACGAAACAAAAACCGAGACCTTCCTCGACTTCCTAGGGTGTCTGTGAAATAAATCAAATTTAGCAAAAATACCGTAAAGACATTTATATTTTTACAAAAGGTTTGTATTTTAAATCATCTTTCAAAAACGTTAAAAAACCTTAGTGATACCAAACTTTTGAACAGTAGTGTATAAAGCTAAATACTGCTGTTTGTTACAATGTACCTATGTAGCCACATTGGTATCTACGTTGTGCATCAGTAATTTCCCATGGACCTTTGGTGAACCTGCATAGCATGTTTCTGTCTCAGCAGTGGAAAAGCCCGTGGCACAGGATCCAGGAGAGTAGGCCAGTGCTATGCACTGAAGCAGGTTTAATGGACATGTGTAGAATGGACAGATGCTCATTCAGACTATTTCATTCACATCTGCAGGCCCACAGACCAACAGCATGTCACGTGTGTTACAGACACAAACCACTGGTTCTTTTTCTCAATCAGGGAATACTGAACATGTTTAAAGGGGATAAAGGGCCGCCGGGATTATTCGTCGCTCGTTTCTCCCAGAATGCATCCGCGCAGGCATGTACTGAAGCCTGCCATGTGAGAGAGGGTTTTATATATGAAAGAGGCTTAAAGCACAAATTAGTTTCCTTCACAGATTTTTCTTCTTCTGGTCATGCGACTCTTATTCCTAACCGAGAATCTTCTAGTTCCAGTAGTGTGGCACATTACTGCTTCAACCCACCAGATGGCAGTAGTACTTAATATCCACTTTTTCAGGGATGGACTGGGACCACTGATGGTGAGAATCAACCACCACAAACTCCATCAGAAAACAAATAACTTTGATATACATCTATTAAATTACATTTGCAGAAATTGATTTATTAAAATGAAAATTTGTATAGAGTAGATCAGAACCCGTAACCACTGAGAATGTTACATTAGCATATACTCATTTCTTGCTTTTTTTATTAATCATAATCAGACTCTTACAAAGCATTGGGTACATTTGGTTGTTTGTTTAACCCTCTGGGGACCAGAAACGCACCGGCGCGTTTTGCTCGTTTTTTTTCACATAGCAGAAAAATAGACTTAAAGTACTACCATCATTTCTGTTCATATAGAGCTAAGAAATATGAGAAAATAATCTGTTAAATGTCTACTTTTTTATGTCCCCACATACAATCGAAATAAAATATTGTGCTTTTGTAAAATAAAGAAAATAAACAGGGTGTGCGTTCTGCCTCTCGGTCACCGTGAACTTTTTTTCTGGAGCACGTCTCTAATCTTCCACACAACTCAGCTAATACTATTCACCCAGCCATAAGCAATATATCTTTTAAATCATTTGAGTTTGTACTTTTAAATGATCTGATTCAAAACTAAAATTAATATTCTCCGTTTATGTCATCTATATAAAAAGAGAGACGTGTCAGCCCGTCTCATTATCGTTCTCTCAGCTGATTATCTCTGGTAATGTGACACGCCCACGGAGAGCACGCGCTATTCAAACGCAAATATGTGAAGCAACACATTGAGACGCGTT